TATCCCATGTGTTTAATGCGCTGAGTACACGCCCACCAATCTGAATCCAATCAATATATGTATACGTGGAGCATCGAAACAAAATGTTTGGAACACATATGTTCGGAACACCGAAACAAAACCAAAACAAATATAGTACGTGTTTGAAACGTATGTATAAAGTACTGTGCTTACACATGAGGATGCGAGCACGTGTGGCCCGACACCACCTTGATCATTGAATTTAACATCAAAAAAAACAAATTTTGATAACGATATACAAAAATATATCTTGATATATCTTATATATTCCACTTACTAAGTTCGACCGGTCGAACTTAGTAAGTTCGACTAAGTTCGACCGGTCGAACTTATAAACATAGATACTAAGTTGGATAACCTCAACTAAAACATATATCGAACTTACATATCTTAAGATAGTAAGTTCACATTAAGTAGATCATATGTTCGCTATCTTCGCGTTGGACTTACTAAGTGGTTATATCATCTTAGTAAGTACAGACAGGAACACAAGTGCACATAGGCAGCATAGAGGCGAACTTAACACGGTTGCAAGTTAGTTACCACATTTGCAACCAGCTTATACCTAAGTTATAGTCTACTTATATTCGGTTAGTAAGCTGGACAACGAGGCTAACTACTTACAACCCCAACCGCACATCCAAGTAGCGATGGCCTCCACCTTAGTAGCGATGGCCTCCACCCTAGTAGCGCTAGGGATGGCCTCCAACCTATTATAGCGATTGCCTCCAACCTACTATAGCAATGGCATACATTCTAATGGCGATGGCATCCAACTTAGTAGCGATGGGCTGCAACCTATACTGGCGATGTCCTTCAACCCACTAGCGAAGTCCTCCAACCTAATAGCGATGGCATCCAACTTAAGAGCGATGGCCTCCAACGTGCTAGGGGTGACATACACCAACCTACTAGCGATGGCCTCCAACCTAATAGCGATTGCCTGCAACCTAATGGCGATGTCCTCCAACCTACTAGC